CAATTCCGTTTCGCGAAGATGGATCCTATTGAATTTTTATGTTCACGTTTATACATGCTCGCGATAAGCGACGCTAATTCCACGGGATTATTATTTTAAATATATTATAATTTTCGAATTAAATTTACTAATCAGCGGCATGCGATATTTATATCATGGATGGCGAGCGGTCGCGATCAGCTGATGGTCGGCTGATGGTCGAAATAATTCATTTCCGTCGGCCTGTGCGTCGCAAACTGCGCCGATCGGTTTTAATGAATTCACGACGACGAACAGTTTCCTCGTTTATGATCAACATTGCATATACATGCTGGGAAAGCAATTATTTCTTGCCGACTGTTGAATTTGTGACGGGTCGTTTGTCAAGAAATTTGTGACTTAGAGCTGACCTGACAGCTTTTTGTTATGAGCTTTGACTGATCGAACTGAGCTGAGATCACAGATCTTGCCCTTACTGAGCTACTGAACCTTTAAACCGAACTGAGCTAATATTCTGAGCTGAGCTTATCTAGAATTCAGCTCAAGATTAAGTTGCATATCACTTTTTATAGGCAGGTGGTGAGAAATCCTCGGGCATCTTTTCGGGAAGGTGAAAGATGTTTCTCCTGTCGACTTGCCATCTTTTCGGAAAGGGGAAGGATGTTTCTCATGTCGTGAGAGAAACAATCAATAATTATGGATTGAGATAGCGTCGATGTATTGTGGTGTCGTGCGACCCGAGTTATGCGTTTATCTTATTCCAAATGTGACACCTTTATCGATCGTCGACGAAAAGTTACGTGATAGTAAATATGAAAACAGATTGTATAATATATATGTCTACAACTTAGTCCCTCCTAACTACACTCTAATAACAGATGCATTGTTTGTACGTAGATGCAATTATTAATGATGTTTACACCTAGGTCTGCATTAATGCATACCGTAAACCGTGGCCCCGGATTACACGATGCGCGCTTAGCATGGTGCTCGCATTCCCATCGCGAGAATATCTAACCTTCGTACGGATTCTCTGTACTTAATACATAACTATATTCAGTGCATAAATATGCAGCGTCTGGTATTCCATACGGATATTGTTAACGCAGATTTTCGCGAGACAAATACGAGGGCAGTCCGATAAGTACTTAGCCTACAAAAGAAAAACGAAAATTTTGAAAAAGTGGCGATTTATTTCTCAACATAGTCTCCTTTTAGCTCGATACACTTGACCTAGCGATGCTCCAACTTCTTTAACCCATCTGAAAAATACGTTTTCTCGAAGTCTGCAAAGTAGGCCTCCGTGGCGGTGATGACCTCCTCATTCGACTCAAATTTCTGCCCGGCGAGTGACTTTTTCAAGTTTGGAAACAAAAAAAAGTCGCACGGGGCCAAATCTGGAGAATACGGTGGATGGGGCAGCAGTTCGTAGTCCAATTCGACCAATTTGGCCATCGCCGAGGTCATCGCCGTCACGGAGGCCTACTTTGCAGACTTTGAGAAAACGTATTTCTCAGATGGGTTAAAGAAGTTGGAGCGTCGCTGGGTCAAGTGTATCGAGCTAAAAGGAGACTATGTTGAGAAATAAATTGCCACTTTTCCAAAATTTTCGTTTTTCTTTTGTAGGCTAAGTACTTATCGGACTGCCCTCGTATATCCCGTCTATTCTGTGTCCTGTTACAATCTAATATTCGTCGATATCTAATTATTGAGACTCTGCTATCTATCTCTCTTCCCCCCCTCTCTCTCTCTCTCTCTCTCTCTCTCTCTCTCTCTCTCTCTCTCAGAACGCAAATTTTAGACAAATAAATTTCCATAAATGCATAAATACATAAGTTGGACTTTATATGTAATTCTGTTTTTTATCACGTCAAATTAACACAACAAACGAGCTTGCGTCATAATAAAAGCACATATATGTATATAAATATCGGTATCATTTATTTAACCAATTAGCGTCGACGACTCATCGATCAATGTACAACACGTGTACCTGTCTCTAACCGTCCATTTGTAAATTTGCGATGGAATAAAGTCTCGTCCGGGGTGGAAGGGGAGGAGGGAGGGAGGGAGAGAGCGAGCGGACGAGCGAGGGACACGCAGGGTGTGCGTTTTGCCGGCCGATATATCGCCGTTCTTCGCGTCGGGGTGGATGACGACGTTGGTTCCAGATATTTCCCTCATAAATTCGTTTGTGAAAATGTAATTTGCGGACGGGACCGCATCTGGAATATATGAATTTTCATGAAAAGCGTTCTCACGACCCCAAGGCTTCGGTTGATACGGGATACGGTTGGCGGTAGCCACCACGTCCCCGGGGTATTACGTAATGAAAGGAATGTCTTCGGCGGGGATGGGGCAAAACAATGGCCACTACGGTGGGTAATAGTAATGGCATGTCGTATGAATATTTGAGAAATCAAAGGAATTCAGAGGAATCAGCCGGGTCGACCATTCGTTTTGCCCTGCGTCCCTCCTCGCGGGTGATCCCGAGTCCGGGTGCTTCCTTGAATTGACCGGCGTCTTGCGGCACGCTCGAGCGAACGCCGAATCGACAGACGGTGCAAATCGAAAGCGCAGAGCGCGCGCGTGAAAAAGTGACCTCGCGCGCGCTTCCGTGTCACGCACGCGCGTAAAATCGGAAATTCTCTCTCGTCCCGCGTGACCCCTCGTCGGCGGTAATGGTTAACTATCCGCGTATAAATTACGAGCTCCCACTGGTTTATGCGCATAACAAATGCGGTTCCGCGCGACACAACTGTACGAGATTGTTGTATAAAATCCCGATGCATTATACATCGCGGCCCGTACGCATTTTATTCCCGAAGCATTAATGGAATCGCCACGGATCACCGTGCATGCGTTAAGAATAGATTACAACCGGGGGAAGATTTATCCCCGCGTGAAATGCGCGTCCGAACGCGCGTGAACGATCAATTTGAAAGCGAAGCTGTCGGAACTCGTGTGGAATCATGTTTATCTAACTAACCATTCTCCTTATTTAATTCCTAATGAAAACAAAGATGCACGAGACGCCCCATTTTAATGGAAACGGTGGAATATCTTGAAAACGGAGCAAGTGACAAAAAATGCCTCGGATGAAAGCTGTAGGGTTTAGAGGGGGGATAAGTCGATGACCTTAACTTCGTTGTATAGTCGATAATTCAAGGTTACTTCAAGATCAACTTCACTTTTTCAAGTAGAACATATAGTTTTTTTCTTTTTTAACAAATCGATTCCTCCGTTCATTCCGCGTGTAAAAGTACAAAAGTGAAGTGATCGAAAAGCGAATACTTTTATTTTATTTTCTCCTATTCTGATATTTTTTCATACAAGATATAAAATATCTCATAAAATATTGGATTTTCGATGAGATCACTTCAACACTTTTGCACGTAGAATGGCAGACGGGGTCGAACGTCGTAAGCAAGCACAGGTGAAGCTTAAGAAAATTCGTTGCATTTTGCAAAAGTATCATCGCACCTTCAGCGCCTGGGAACTTAGTCGGTCGGCAGATATCCGTCGCGAGATCGATCGGAGAAGATGTAACCGGATGGAGGGTAATGAGCTGCGTACGTGGGAGACAAGCGAGCTTACATTTCCGAAGCGAGCGGCATGCAACATTGATATTCCACTTGAGCGGCGTGCAGCATTGCCCCAAGCGCCGAGGGGGAGGCCGTCATGTTTCGCGAACAAGCGCACTAGTCACGCTTTTATTGGACCTCCGATGGAAAGTGGCACGTGTACGTAAGACACACCGTAACGCCGGCGCATCGAATATTCCGGTTCGATCAAACGTAGAACCTTGTTCCCGCAAGACTTCTCGGTTCCTGAATAAATCGCACCGAAGAAACAGCTGCCTTCTCCTTCCACTCGGAACTACCGCGATATATTTTCATTCCCACGCGTAGATCGTTGCGTTATTGCTGCTGCTTCACGGCTTCATCGGGATGCACGTTAATGCGTGTTACGCGATTAATTAGCACGTAACGCGTGCTAGCGTCGGCGTAAGCGTGGAGCATAAAGGGGCTTTAAGTAGCCGGGCCGCTTAACGAAGCTATAAGTCGTAGTTTTAATTATCCCCACACGGGCTACAATTCAAGCTTACTCGAGGAAAACGTACGAGTAACGCGGGAGAATATACATCGGGTTTGCGAGAACGTTCCGTCTTTTCTCCAACTGCGTTTCTCAAAAGACCATTTAACGCGATAGACTCGAGAGTCAAAGAGAGAGAGAGAAAGGGAGAGAGGGAGGGGAGAGATTATATTGTGTCTTATATTTTTGTTTAGGAGTCAACTTCTCCATTATATGCTGTTCTACCTGCACGGAAGAAAATAGCTGATTCGATTAACGTAACATTGAACAAACCAAACGCTTTTCGATTGGAGAAAATAAAATTTCTGGCACCTACACAGAAAAAAAACATTAGTATTAATTCATATTCTCATATATAAGCAAAAATATACGATCCTATATGAAGGTAAAACTAGCTCTTCTATACAGGAAGAAATCTTCTATACTTCCAGTTCTACTAAAAATCAATTCACGTGTTATTGAAAATAATTTCCACGTATTGAGAGGAAAAAATATTGAATAGAAAGAACGATATATTCAAACTCATACAATTCTTGAAGTTTGAAGATACCGTTCTTTCTATTTCCGATATGTTTTTCCTTCAATCCATAGAAATTATTCTTGAATGACAAGAATATGCTATTTTTAGCGGAAGACTATTCAGAATTCCTTCATGAAAAAGAGAGTTTTATCTTCGTATAAATTTATATAATCTCGCTTATATAATCTCGCTGAGTCTTGAATGGATACTAATTTTCTCCCGTTGATAAATCAAATTCAGATTATAAGAACCAGAAATTCTGTTTCTTTCAACCGAAACAGGTTTGCTTTCATCATTGTTATATTAATTCTTCAATCTTTCCTCTCCGTGTGCTGTGAAGATACTCGAAGAGATGCATTCTCGGCGATTTCGCTCTTTCACATGTCGATAAATCTTGGAAATATACCTAGGGCGAACTTGACGCCGGTCCAGGCTTGTCTCACGTAGTTGATTAATCTCCTGTAGAGAGGCCTCGGCGGTCTCTTGGTGGAAGTCCCCTCCTCCTCGTCGCACGCGCTCTCGTTATCCAGCGTTCCCGGCGGCGGGCCCACGCCCGTCAAGGTGCCAGCTTGGTTCCTCTCGCCGAGGATATTCACGACCTCCCGCAGCCCAGGCGCAACGCCCTGCAGTCCTGGTGCGTAATTCGCGGGGGCGACGCCGGAACCCAAGAGGTTCGCGCCGCCCCCGCGACCCCTGCCGCGTCCACGGCTGCCGCGACCCCAGACGGTGCCACTGCCTTCGAGACAGTTCACGACGTGTCAGATCTCGATGTATCGAATTCGCGCGAACACAGTAATTTTTTCTCCTTTTTTTATGCAAGTGTTAGCTGCCTACGTGTTTCAATACATAGAAGAAAACATCGAAACCTGACCGTAGGTATCGTAAACCGACATACCTATGTTTCTCGGCTGTAAAGTTTGGTCTACAGTGTGCTCTTTGCGTCTTGCTCTCTATCTTTTTGTAAAAACTTCTATTTACTTATAGAAACGAAACGGAAAGCAAGAAACAAAAAGCACATTGTAGATCAAGCTTATAGCACTGGTAGAAAAATGTTCCTGGTTTGCACCCATGCACATAAATGTTACACCTTCAATAAAGCTTTAGAGCCTGAAAATGGTATGTCGGTTTTCGTGCTTTTCCTCAATTTTGACTTGATCTATCGGGTATCTTCGAGTAAAATCGCCGATTGTCCGTGCATCGTGACGTTTCGCGCTTTTTTCAGCGAACGCGAATTTCTCTTCCGCAGTTCGAGACGCAGTGTGGGCTTTTGCAATTTACCGGGTAGGTCACTTCGAACGCGAGACACCCCGCTCGGTTATTTATAAGGGAAGACATGAGCTCGTAATCGAGGCCATTTGCTTTTTAATTGAGTTACGACTTCCGCATACGAAAAGTTTACGGTATGCGGAATGACGAGGGAAGCTCGTCCCGCGGCAATAGGCCCTTTTTCTCGTGGACGTCCTGAAGGACGCCGTCGCCTTTAAATATTTAACGCGAGTATACGTGGTATTCCGTGCATGCATAATCAACTGGGAAATTAACGAGGGTTCGTTCCGAGCTTTTCGTACTATAGACTCGGGGAAAAATTGCACGTTATTCGCGATGACAATTTTATGCGCGTTTAAGCGCGAACCGAGAGAATATTACGTTTTTGATGGTCGCAACACAATCTATCGTGTCATCGGATCGTTAACATTAAACAGTTTATTCCACGGTAAGAAACCTTCTTCCGCGAGCGATAAACCGATCCACGTCAAGACATTAACGCAATTTAATGCGGAAAGTCCCAAGCTTGATTGAAAAAAACTGGAAGCCAAATACCAGCTGAATATTAAAAGTATCATTACGACTCGTACCACAAAGTAGACAATTATTTTCAATTTCGATTTCCTTCAATTTCAATTTATTCAGTTCTACATTTTCGGATGTACCGTTTATTAATTACTCCCTTAAATTGCTCAATTCAGTACGCGAACGTGCTAAAATCTCAAAATGCTCACTTTACAAACGACACAATCGTCGCGAATTCGCGAATATTTGGTGTGCGAATTAATTCGGTGCCTTTGCATTTAACGTCCTGTAACTCTGGTTCAAATTTAAAATTTTTCCCTCGTCCTATGGTGACTTAAAAGTGTCAACCCTAAGCTTTAAGCTTTAAGAAGCACTATAATAGTTGAATCGGTATCTTCAACGGCCTTGCCGATATGACCTCGGAAGGCAGTAGTTATCACGATGTTGTTCGAAAAGAATCTGAGACATCGCATCCTTTTTTGCATTCCAGTTGAATAAAAATGCTGCTCAGTCTATTGAAATGATTCGTTCCGCTTTAGGCGCTGTAACCCATAAAACTTATAAAAAGACCTTTCACCGACAATGGAACTAGGCAGGTGATCTGCTGCGCGATAACGCGCAGCCGCAAAAGGGACGAAGGATCTCATCTGTACATTAGGCTGAGAGAATTCTCCCTCATACGGCTTATTCGCGAAATCTAGCCCCGTCGGATTACCATCTATCTCGGTCACTTCAACATCATCCGGCGTAAACGCCTTTTAAAAACGTTGACGAGGTCCGAGAAAACATTAATGACTTTGCCGAGTCGAAACCGCCAAGTTTTGTTTCCGCGAGGACATTCATCAGCTAGTCGATGGCTGTCAGCCAAAAGCAAAGTCGTAGAAAACGATTACTTTTTGATATTAAATAAACCTTGAATTTCACGCGAGAAGGCATTAGGAACGAATTCGCACGTCTAATGTGCGAAATTCCCCGTTAGTCGTCGTTTTCTCGCGTTCACCTGGTATTCGACTTGGCACCCTTCGATCGTGCGCCGTGAAAGAATACCTTGGCGCTTTTTATAGGAGGAGAGCCCCACCACGGGGCCGCACCCTCCCGCGCTTCCTGCGACAGAAGAGCTGATGGTGGGAACACAAGGGACACCGCGACCGCCACCCGTCCGACGTTCCAAATCACGCCGCTTGCAAACTCCTCCACCCCCTCCGCCACCGCCACCCCCGGCGGACAACACCACGACGGACCCAGGGATACGTTCACGCGGCCCTCTTCCCGCGGAGCCCCTTCTTCGCACCGAGGGCCCCGCTCGCTTACGTCGTCGGAGTCGCCGCAGGCTTCCTCGTGGGACTCTGCAAGGCATTTCGTGGAGTTGTCACCCTGGCTCTCGCGAGCGCCTTCCCCTCGATCCCGCTTTTATCGACGTCCGAACCCGCCCTACTCGACCGGTTCTTTCCGTCAAGTACGTTCTTGTCGCTTCCGGCGAACCGCCACTACAACTCCGCGCGATATACGACAGGCCTCGTTTGAATTCAACAGAATCGGTCAACAATCGGCCGTAATTTGAACCGAAGGAAGTTTCCGAGGTCGCAAAGAACCAAACCTTCGGTCCGGAGAACCTAAACCTTGATTCTTACAAGCAAAAAATTTGTTTGCCTATAGTCAGGCAAGAATTTCGTTGATTCGACTAAATGGGTTTCGCAGTGCGCGCGATTTCGTCGCGGGAAGACAAATTGTGAGTTGTCTCGGACGGCGGATCAACGAATGTTTCAACAAACGCAATACTTGGTAGACGACCGTTGGATCGGCAACTTTCAGCAATGACATGTCGCGCACTTATTTCTTTGATTTTCTCGTCTGTCCGCTACCATCGATTTCTCGGTGGGAAGTGGGCGCGCGGTGTCAGCGAATTTTCTTGCTTTTCCCGCGCATTCCGTCTGCCGCTGGAAACGGACTTTCCGGCCGGATACACCCGCACCTACTCGGCAATGCACACCGAGAATGCTCCGGGAATTTACAAGAACAGCGATTTCGGAACGGAACCTCGCACCTCTCGCTTCCGCTCGCCGCGCTGCTCTCGGCGTTTTTCAACGCGTCGTCCCCATCGCGTTTTCAGCCAAGGTGCTCGCGAACGACGCTGTTACACTCGGCGAGCACGAAAACGGAATACCGATTGTTACCGCGAAATCTCTATCGAGGCAAAGTCGCGCGGATACGTTACGCGCAACTTGTATCAAGTGCGATCGCAGGGAACTCGCGAGGGATTGAACAAACACGCTCGAAGGTAGATTGCGTCCGGTGTGTCGAATGTTCACCCCGACAACGTGAGGGCGTGCGTTCAACAAACACTTCAAACGTGCCGCCCTATTCCCTTCCGGAATAAAAGATTCAAATCAATTCTCACGATGGGATATATATGTATATATTGACGGCTTTGGTCCACGGGATGACCCACGGTTTATTCAGTAGCCCGAAAATTTATTCATTGAACGATATGGCGGGTGCTTCTCTCCCGACCTGTTCTTTATCGCGCGGGGCGCGACAGACCGTTTTCTCATTCAGGACTCAGGGCGTTGGCATGATGTCCTGGACGAGATCATAATGCTTGTTCTCGAGAGACGCAGTTGGTTAGTGTGTTGTGAGTTCGGTTGTGTTAGTAATCTGAAACAGGCAAAGAAGAGACACATGCATTAGTTGTGTTTGTGCACGAAATTACCGGCTGAGTGGTGGCGTACGTGGCTCGCATAGCGGGAGAGGCGTACAAGAAGAGAAAGAGTTAGAAAGAATGGGGGAGTGAGAGAGAGAGAGAGAGAGAGAGAGCCGCTGGGAAAATGCAATTTCGAACGGTACATCGATTCTTGTAAAATAGGTGTTTCGTTAAGGCGAGGACAGACGCGATTAAATGGCTGCTCCGCCCTTTACTTCGCATCGAATGAAGATCGAAACGCTCGTGACGAACGTAGCTATACGGGCTTCAAGGATATTACTGAATCGGTACTTTACGGCTACGCTCGGAAAAATATCACTCCACCTCTAAGAAAAGCGATTGCTCAGTTTACTTGCCTTCTCTTAATGGAAATCCATCTCTTCGTGGTTATTTTCAACGGAGACTATTTTCCCGGTAATCGTCTTACAATGCGCTCGTTACAAATTTAAGTGGTTCACGTGATACTCACATATTCTGTATATTTATGTCTTTAACTGAGATATAATAATAATTAAAATTCAGATAGTTCCATTAGCAGTATCTGAGAGATACACGCGACCGTTGGCGCAACTTTCCGAATGTAACCTTCGGAGTGTGAAAAATATTTTTTGAAAAATTGTGCTGTCATTTGCAAACTGTGAACACTTGTAGATGGATGACCGTTTTAAATCGAATCCATGTTTAGGCGTAGGACATTTTCTACTTCAATTTACATCGGAAACATTAAACTCTTTAAGTTTGTATAGCGAAGAGTATATATTACGTAACGATAGATGGGGTTAGTGATGTTAATGATTTGCCCGTAGCTCTCCTGTGTACAATTCGCAAGTTTGATCGAACACCATCGCCGCGTCGGAATAATCGGGGTCAGGTCGGAGAGGAATTAGGAGTTAACGAGCTCACTTTTCTGGTCTTAATGCGCGGATCTCATAACGACTGCCAATAAATTTACGTGACGGCCAGGGGATTCAGATTATATCGATGGAGGGAGCGGTAAAATATAGAATACGACGTTGCGCACCTTAACCGCGTGGACTCGCCTTTTCTTCTCAATTAAGATCCAACGACTGATTACGGCGTGCGCCGACGATTAACGAGACCGCCAATTTCGGAGATTTACGCCGGTGTACTTTGCGCACTTTACAGTCTTTACAGGTCCCGTTCGCTCGCCGAGTTCATAAACGCCGGCCGATGTAAGGGAAGGTGATAAAACGGCCGGTGGATCGCTCGTAAAACCACTTGTCTCGCGCGAGCGAACTTCGCTGGAATTGCCTCGAATCGAAGAATACCCGGGCTATGTGTCTCGTATGCACATGTGTGCGACTTCCCCCCCTCCTCCCTCCTTTTCTCTCTGTCCTGACGGAGTGGCGATCAAGGATCCGTGGGAATAAAGAGGGGACTGCGAATGTCATAATTTTCCAGAGATTTACCGAGATAAAATGGAAATCGTGGAATATCGACCATTCCATTCGCGTGACGCGGGGGAAGAAAGTCTGGAAAGTAAATCGTCATAAATTAGGAGAAAAGAGGGAGAGAAAGAGAAAGAAGGAGAGAATGCGTTAGATTCGGTTTATAAACAAGCTAACGAAATAAGATCCTGTTTGTAAAATATAACAGTCATCTTATAAAAATTCGAAATATTCGTCAAGACTCTTCTCTTTTTTTCGTGTAGTATCATGCGTTCTCTCTTCAAATAAGGAAATTTACTGCTTATGCAACGCTGCAATAAAAGGAATGTTTGCAACATCGTCAATAATAAATTATCAAAGCCCGGCAGCGCAATCGACTCGAAGTTGATAAGAGCGTAATCAATTTCGCGTTATTACCAAGTCGACGGTGGGAACCGCGCGCAGTATCGTCGTAATTCTTCGCGATACCGCGGATGAAAACGAGAAAAATGCAAAATGCGAACGAGCCCGCCGGTTTGAGATGAAATTCAAGCAGTTCGGCGGAGCCTGGAAATCTCAAGAAATACCGGCGAGAAAGGGGAATACATCAAAGTCGCGCAAGACCAGCCTAAAAAGTATAGTTCATAATGACTTTGAAAGCGGAGACGGACTTGCGCTACCTTTGACTGCGCAGAAAGTTAGGAACGATAGTTACTCCAATAAGTACGCGATCCTTCCCCAGCTTCTTCCTTCGTAATCCCACAGTCGCATTATCGAGAAAGCTTCTGCGTAACTCGATAAAATATATAAATAAACATCCCCTGAGAATCTGCAGTTAAAATCGCGAAAATGTTACGACGACGGCGCGCGCCGCAATGTCTGATACAAAAATGTCGAAACTTTACATATACATATGTTTATGTAAATTTACATGCGAAAATCTAAAAATGTATTTTATATTAAAAAAATATGTGTGTGTATATAATTTTGTAAAAATTATCAACAAGGTTGCATAAATACGAAACAGCTGAATTTTATCTATAGCTCTTCTTGCTTTTGCAATAAGATTTTGCGGACCGCGATCTTTTTCCCACAGTGTCACGTGAAAAGTGGAGCAAATCGATTTATTACCTTGCAAATTCATTTATTACGTTACGTGTCGAATTCAATTTCTTACGGAAGAAATTCCGCTTACGTGACACTGCCAGCCGACGGCGAGCATATTGGGATCTGCCGTTCTGACTTTTCCCATTCGCCTCGAGTTTCATTAATAAACATTACGAGGTTTGACGAGCCACTACTGCGGTCCCTTGCGGTATTGCGGGTAGAGAGGCGTGTACTGATTTGCTACCTTTGCAACAAGCCCGGCGACCTTTGGAGTTTATATCGAGTTAGTTCAAGACACGACTCGACGTGGTAGTACAGTGACGTGAGACAACGCTTAGGAAGCTTTTGACATCGCCGAACGGCCCGGCATTACCATGTTCATGTCACGTATAACTATGGGGCTGAGTCCGCCGAAGAGAAAGAAATGACGCAGGTTTATCGAGTGTGCTCATCGATTGCGATTTTTCCTTCTCGATCCTGTTTCATCCCCGGATGTTGTTTTCTTATCCGTCTGTTTTCACTGGATGGCCCGCGCTCATGTGGAATTTTAAAGATAGGGTGAAATACCGAGAGAGAGAGAGAGAGAGAGAGAATAAATAATCGCGCCCCCGTTACGCGCGCCGAGAAATGAATGAATGTGCAAAATTCAGATTTTCGCGAATAATTCGGAAACAAGCGAAACACAAATCTAAGTGGATAATAAAATAAAATACGCAAGACGTGGGATTAGACGTGGGTTTCCTTAAGGAAACGTTGAGCAAAACGAATCAGCTGATGGCGATAACCACGAATAGAACAGAGAATAATGAAGCAAAAAAAGCGTTGAAATAATGAAATTATCGCTTGTTACTGTAACACGCCAGAAATGGAAGGTGGAGTCCTTTTTCTCTTTTTATACATTTTCATTATAGTCGGTCAACAGCGTGGAAAATGTGTACTCCGAGTCTGATTAAATCGAACCATCTTTACGCGCTATCCAGTGCCAACATTCTACCAGTAAGCAAACACTCCGTCGGGTTCGCTGATCGAAAGAGAAGCTCCTCTCCCACTCGTCGTCGTTGCAAACCGGAATGTCAGCCAAAACCTACTTTTATCTCCCGGGACGACCATCCTTTCCCTTCACATCGCTCGGTTTCCCCCAAGTTCCTACCTCACGACCATCTCGATTGGCCACTTTTCTTCTTCTCCAATTTTGGTCCCGGTTGCTTCGATCGCTCCCGATGTGGGTCTCTCGCTATGATCTTATGAGCTCGGGGAGATAAAGCGGGAGGAAATCACCTTGAACAAAGGGGGTGGTCGGTCTAACGAATTAGAAGGCACTCCGTCTAAATGAGAGACGCGGACTTTGCGAAACGGATACGATCATCGCGACATCGTCAGAGACAAATGCGCGATGAAACAAAATTCAACGTTATATTAACCCGTAAAATCGAATTCTCTTTTACGTTGATTCACGCAAGACATACTTTCGTAGCAAGAAAGTTTTTACTTAAGAGGATACTGGATCTCTGAAATGGCCAAAAATCAATCTTTGGCTTTTATGATTTTTTATATGGCGATCTCTTGGCAGTTTATTGAGCTTATAAATATTGAAAATTTCGCTATGATCTTAGATATAAGAGATATTTATTTCAAAAAATAGGCGAGAAGACAAAAAAGTTCGGAGAAATGTGGTTTCTCGCGCACCAATTTTTTAATAAATGTTATTTTTTCTGTTTCAGAGGTTTATTCGATAAAAAGATTTATTCAGGGAGAGAATGACGTTTACATTTATATATATATATATATACTTATATATTGTTGATTTCACGAAAATATTCTCATCGAAGGATTGAAATTTCTCTTCAACCAGACGGCAAACTTATGTGATACTTCACAAAAGTATACTTAAATGTTCATTTTATTTCTACGACAGATTTTTAAACTTCTGTCTTACGTACAAGTATGTCAAATTAGAAGAAATTTGTTATATTATGAGCTTTCTAAGCACATTCGCACCATATAAACTTATAAACATCTCGAAAACAATACGGTAAAGATCGATTGAAATTTTCGTTACGCATTATTAATTCGATTAAACTTCTGTATTCCGTATATATCATTGGTTTCTTTCGTATTTGATCAACTGCTCGAATCCCCTTAATATCTCCATCCATCGCATGTACCTTTACATTTAATTAAATCCCACGTACGTTAATGCGAGTCTTGAAATGGCTGCTGGTAGTCGCCGCTGGCGATGTGACTTTTTTTCGCCGTGAAACGACCGAAACAACCCCGTGTCTGGGAAGTAAGAGCATCCGTGTCCCGCCAGGAGGATTACTTTGAATGCCGCGGGACGACGTGCTCCGTGTCAGCGTAGCGTAACATTATCCCAACGTTCTCGTGACGTCAACGCATTACGCGGACGTGTGTCCTCGTATCAGATAATCCGAAATAGACTTAGTACCTATAGATCACAC